ACGTTGTACTACGGCCTTGGCGGCTGGATCAATGGCGAGGTGGTGACAGGCGACCTCAGGGTCGAGTCCGGGCATCTCCGCAGCGCTCCAGGCGAAGAGATCAGCATTCTCGCGCAGACAGGCCTTGATTTGCTTCCTGGCCAAGTCGGGGAGGTCTTTGCCAATCTTCACTCCCTTGGTCGGGTCTGTGCCGAGGGGAACGAGTTCAAAATCCCCGTCCGGTATTGGTCGGAGTGGGATTTGCTCACTGCTGGATGGCTCGTCCTGATCGAAGCGGGTGTCGAGGGCTATGGAGTCGACCTTTGGTGGAGCTTTCTGGACTTCTTCCTCGGGGGATGCTTTCCTGTCGGGCTCCTGTTTTGTCCTTTTAGTGGGTCTGGTCCCTATGTCGATGGTATCCCGTCCCTTAGAAGCAGCGTTGAAGCACCTACGGGCAGCGGCTAGGTCTCCTTGGATGGTGGCTACCCGTTCCCTCCTGGTGTAGAACTTCATCTTCAGATGGACGGTCGAGGGTACCGCTGTTAGCTCTGCCAGTGTCGATCTCCCCAAGATGCAATTGTATAGAGACGGGCAGTCAATGACGAGGAAACGGACTTTAACTTGTCTCATAGCCGTTCCTTCACCGAACGTAACCAGGAGCTCGACATAACCCCAAGGTTTGGAAGTCGAGCCGTTGAAGCCTTGTAGATCTGACCCCACATACGGAGAGAGATGTGAGTCGTCCAGCTGCAGGGTTCGGAACAGCTGGCTGTACATCACGTCGACGGAACTCCCTTCGTCGACCAGGATGCGATGCACGTCAAAATTGGCCATTCTTGCCCTTATCAGTAAGGGGATGACCGCGTTCGGGGCTCCGCCGGGGAGTTCTTCTAGGTAGAAGGTGATGGGCTCTGACCTGCCCTTCACTCTTTCGAACGTTACTGTTTGCGGGGGAGCCGCGTCGACCAACTCGTCCAACTTCCTCTTAGCTGAATTGATGGTGAGGTCGTTGAACCCGCCCCCATTAATGACCATGGCGGAGGGAAAGTATTCCCACCTGCTGTGCGTTGTCAGCGGCTCCCGCAGGTGCTCGGGAATGTCGAAATCCTCGGGCCTGGTCACCGAGAAGGCGGTCTGGATAGGCACCGACTCGTCTGATGGTCGGGCGTCTTCTTCTGGCTCCTTGGCTTCATGGGCGTCACGACGAGGAGCGTCGTTTCGCCTGTACTGCGCGAGCCTCCCTCCCTTGATGAGGGTTTCAATGGCGTCCTTGAGGTGGACGCAGTCCTCTGTCAGATGACCATGACTCCTATGGTATTGACAATATTTATTTTTGTCCGCCCCTGGCTTGGCGGGAGCAGGTCGGAGACGCTTGACGCTGCCGTCCTTGAAGTCTGTACTGGCACACTCCGCCAGGATACGCTCGTGGGAAGCTGTAAGCGGAGTGTACTCGGTGAAACGGCCCGAGGGGCCCCTTTGTTCCCGGACTTCCCGGGGTCGGTCTTCTTTCCTTTTCTCCCCGGTTCGTCGGGGAGGAGCCTCTTGGCGTGAACTGCTACTGTTGTTGGGTCCCCGAGCCCTGGAGTCTCGGGCCCTGTTGGCAGCTTCCCTCTCCTCGTAATCCATGTATGCTCGAGCTTTATCGAGGAGGGCGTCGAAAGACCTGGGCGGCTCGATTCCCACGGCTTTTCTGAATTCTGTGCCGGGGAGGAGCCCCCTCTCCAGCAGATATCTCTTCATGTGGTCCGTGCAGGGGACCTGTATCGCTTCTCGGTTGAAGCGGTTGATGAACTCCCTCAAGGTCTCATCCTGTCTTTGGATGATGGCCTCGAGCGCCGCCTCGGTCTTTGGATGGCGTCGAGAAGCGGTGAAGGAACTGATGAACTGGTTCTTCAGGTTCCGCCACGAGGTGATTGAGCCCGGGGCGAGCCCTTTGTACCAGTCCATGGCCGCCTTCCTGAGAGTCGTGGGGAAAAGACGGCACTTGATGGGCCCCCCGACATTATGATAATGGAGCATGGCCTCGAACCCGTCAATGTGGTCGACCGGGTCCGCAACTCCGTCATACTCCTTCAGATGTGGGGGCTTCTCCATGCCCGAGGGGATGGGTGCATCCATGATGGCCTGCGACAGGGGACCGCGGGGGTCGTCCTCGTCGCTCCTCTCCGAAGACAGAGATGGGGACCTGTAGTATTGCCTGGCACGGTGGTCGTGCTGAGTCTCCCTCGAGCGTGATGCTCGCTGGTTGAATGTTACACGCCCGTCCCCGGCGTGTCTCTTGTCGTGCCTCGCCGGGTCGCAACTGGGTTCTCCGGCGGGGATGATGGGATCTCTCTCCAAATATGGTCGCCTCTGCTTTGGCCGGGGAGAAGGGCTTCTGGAGTTTTCCCTGTAGTGTCTCCGCGGGGGAGAAGGGTGTCGAACTTCAATCACCCGAGGAGGGGGAGAATGTGGTCTCCGATGCCTCCTCGAGGGTCTTCGCTCGTCTTCAAGCGCCTTTAATCTCTCTCCTTGGGCGAAGATGAGATAGTTCGTTTGGTTAATTGCTGCGAACAACGCTTGTGTGGTGGCATCTGCCCCGGGGGGGACGGGGACTTCCTGAAACCGGACGGCTCTGTAGTGGGCGAGGGCCGCCGGGTCGTCCTCGAGTGGTGGTGGGAGCGAGGAGGATGATGCTGTGGCTCCGTCCCTGTGCGAGGAAGTTCCGAGGACGGTTGTTGCAGGAGCGGTGTTGTGGCCGGGATTACCGACGTTGTCGAGATGTCCGTTTTTGTCCGCCGTGCCGTTATTGGTGTCGGCGACACGGACGTTCTGCTCATCGCGAGCTGGATCAGCCATGACTGGTAGTTGAATTTTGAGCTTTGGTCTTTTGAGTTGTTTGTAAGACGGGGAAGCTGGATTCCCACGAACGGCGCCACTGATCTGACCTGATCAGAAATGGACCGTCACGGCTGGCTCCAAGCTGAAAGCTTTTTGAACGAGGTGGGGGGGGTACCTGCAAGACACTCCGATGCTGAAGTAAGTAGAAGCACGAGCAGGTAATAGCAAGTGTATGGGTAGAATGATGAATACCTGACCCTCTGGAAACAGAGGGTATTTATAGCCCCCAGCGCTGGGCCAAGGTTCCTTCCTTGGGCCGGGCAGGTTTGGCCCAATGGAGGAACTGTCAGGTTCTACGTGCGTAGTGAGGACCCGCACGTGGTCCCCTTCCTGGATGTTCTGCGTGAAGTGCGGGCGGACGGAGACGCGGTCTTTTCGGGGTCTCGTTGGGAGTGCAGTGGACTGAGTCTGCCCTAGTTGGGGTGCTCGAGGTGATGTCGAGCTGGACAGCAGGATGTCGAGCTGGAGATGTAGAGGTCGAGCAAGTGACCTCAGGGAGCACGTCGGGCACGACTGTGACCCTTTGGTCGGCGTGGTCCTCAGCAAGTCCATTTGGATTGGGCCTTAGCAATGCTATTGGGCCTGTCGGACCTAGTCCAGAACACTTATGAATTTGTAAATTAAAGATGCAATGAATTTTGGATGAATTATAATAAACTAATAATTTATTCAAAAAATAAGAAAATATAAGATTACATGTTGTTTCAGTTGGTAAGGAACTGATTCACACACCAAGAGGTTGTGGATTCAATTCCCACTTTGATACGAGGATTGCTTTGGTTGATGATTTGTTACACTTCTATAACTATTTTTTAAGTTTTGAGGTTTATCCCGACTCAAGTGTGTGGATTCAATTCCCACTTTGATACGAGGATTGCTTTGGTCGATGATTTGTTACTACTTCTATAACTATTTTTTAAGCTTTGAGGTTTATCCCGACTCAAGTGAACCTTTTAGTTGATAAGTAGTTGACTCACACCGAAAAGTCATAGATTCAATTCCCTCTATCAATGTGAGAATTATTTTGGTGGATGATTTGTTAATACTTCTATAAACATTCTCCGAAGGTCTTGCTTTGGTCTCCGAAGGTCTTGCTTTGGTGGATGAAATCACTTGCTATTGTCAAGTGGTAGATTCGATAGGGCTATTGAACCTTTTAATAAAATTAGAACTAAAGGAGTTTTATTGAATTCATTCATCTATACAAACATTTTTCAATCATGCTCTGCTGTCTCAGATTTAATTTATTATGTTCAAGTTCATGTAGGTGCAATAAAAAAAGAGGCAAATTCAATGCCTTTCTAGGGAGAGTGCTATGATCACTATGTACTCAGAATGCTGCAAAGAATCAACCATTCTTGGCCATAGATAAACCTGATACTATTGCATGGACTGCTATAATTTGTGCTTTTGTTGCCATGACAAAGCTTCTGAATCCCTGAGAGTTTTCAACAAGATGTTGCGGTAGGGTGCAAGGTCAAATGCTGTCACTTTCACTGGCTAGTTAAATGCTTGTATTCATGCAGGTTAAGTTAAAGAGGAAGAATTTTTTGGATACAATGGGTAACAAGTACGGTGTAAAACCAACTATTTGTCATTACAATTGCATGATTGATATTTACTCTCCTGCTGCTGGATTATTAAAAGAGGCGCGATAAGGAGTCTGATCATTACAATTGCATGATTGATATTCACTCTCTTGCTGGATTATTAGGAGGGTGTTGGAGTCATCGGAATCTCAATATTGGGATGACTGCAGCTGAAAATATCTTTCAATTGGATCTACTAGACACTTCTACTTTTATATTATTTCAGTGGCAAGATGATAGATTCCCACTGAATGACCCTGTAAATCTGTTTTGCATCTTAAACTCTTTAACTAGTCAATAAATTTTAAAAGTATATCAAAATTATTCAATAGAAGCCTGGTTTCTGGCAAGTGAAATCCAAAAAACAAAGGGGTTGAACAGTAGCCTGATACAAGTCATAAAAATAAAAAACAGGTTACAGCTAGTTTGATATTTATATCGCTCCATAATTCAAACGGTATGTTCCACTGTCCATAGAAACATATAATCAATTTTCAACGTTTTTTCACTACTTCAAGGTATCGTTGACAACAGTATCAAACTGGAAGTTCTTCACACAGTAAATTCAGCTTCAGGATCACTTTCTTTAGGGACAGCAGCAGGTACTTTCTTCTTGTTGCCTCTCAGACGTGAAGATATATTTTCAATGGCAGAGTTTAGTTGGCCTATTTTTTCATTCAAGGTCTCCTTGGTCCCCTGCTTTCAGGAACAACATAACATTAACATAATCAAAACAAACTCAGCATATTCCAACTACACAAAATACTGAATATAAAACCAATACAAGTCCAATTACCTCTAGCCCTTCGTCATAATATATTGGTTTTCTGGCCCTCCGAAACCCATATTCATTTTCATCTAGCAAAGATCTTCTGATCTGGCATGGCAAGTTAAAGTTAACACCATAACATAATATGCACCATCAAAATGGCAACAACGATATCTCTTGCGAGTAAATAGTAAAACTAAAAGTGATACAACAAACAGATAGATAATGCAAAGATTACATTTTGCTGAGACAAAAGTAGGCTATAATTATATAACTATAATTTCTAACCATTCAAAGGCTTGCCAAAATAACACTTCCAGTCCGTAAGACAAAATGATAAGACAGGATCCAAATATGGAAAAGTGTGTAGTATAATTTTACAGTTATAATTCTATTTGTTAATGAAAAGAAACAGTCATAAATATAAGTCTCTAACCCATCACCATGGCAGCATGTTGCTATCATTAAAGACATTGCAAATAAAAGAGAAAGTTATTCAACTCTCTTCTTATCCTTTGCAAAATTAAGTCAGCTCTCAAAGCATGAACCAAATGTTGCACTAGTAATAAAACTACAGTGATGAAGAGTTAGTTTACATCAATTTTTCAACAAACAATAATACAAATAGTTCAAATAATTACAATTGTAACAATGAGTTATATCGATAAATAAAATAGCTTTCCATATGAGTTGAAATAAGTTTACGAGTCACTTATTTTAAATCTCTCTCATTTAACTTTTCTACTAGCATCTACAAACTTATAAGGCTTTTTACTTTTAAAAAATATGATAGGAATCAAACAACTATTTCAATTGAGAAGCTTTATCAACTGGAAAGTAGAAACTACCAAAATGATCTGTGGTTAATAGCTAAGAGTCTGTTGTTGACCCAGCCTTGATGCAATTGCATCTTCTTGCTAAATTTTTCCCCACAAAATTAGTCATATATGGTCTATAACATGGTTAATATGTATTGCTTTTTCTTTCTTTTCACTACTATAATCAAGCTTATTTATCACTCACAGTTTTCAGTTAAACTATCTAGACCCACTAAATTAAATTGAAGTAAGAAATCACCTGGGGAGCAAAAACATAAGCTAGGGTTCCAAAAATAGCACCACCCAGAAGAAAGCCAGCAATCAATTCCCCGCCTCCACCTTCTCTGTTATCACTGCACACAAGAAACAGTTGATGGAAATAACAATCTATATAATCTTCTAAAATATGCACCCAATAAAATCAAGATACATGCAGATTAAATATTTCAACCAGTGTTCCAATCTAAGCATTCAAAAGACAATTAACACGGTTTGAAATTGAATAATATATTTCAAGGATCTTAAAATTCCAAGCATTAATCTCTTTATATAAGACTATTCTAATCTAATGGGCCTAACTAATGGACTAAAAGCCCGAATACAAATTACTACTAATAATAGTAAAAAAAACTTATTTCAACACTCCCCGGATATAAATTATGGCCTATGTTAATAGTAGATTTATCATCACAATAAAGTCTCATTGGTTCATCACTTCTTATCTTCAATTACTAATAATAATAGTAAAAATAACTTATTTCAACACTCCCTCTCAAGTTGGTGAATGAATATCTATCATTCCCAGCATGAATTGACTGACTAAACTTTCAGCAAAAGCAACGTCTGGTCTAGTATGTGATAGGCATATAAGTTTTCTGACTAATGTTTGATACATTCCCTTATCAACCGGAATATTTTCTTCTGCGTTCTCCAACTTTAAACTTGGATCAATTTGAGTACTTGCAGACTTGCATGCTGTCTTATCTGTCTCTTGTAGAAAAACTTGGATCAATTTGAGTACTTGCAGACTTGCATGCTGTCTTATCTGTCTCTTGTAGAAAAACTTGGATCAATTTGAGTACTTGCAGACTTGCATAATGTCTTATCCGTCTCTTGTAGAAGATCAGTAATGTATTTTTGTTGAGATATGAAGATTCCTTTCTTAGAGTGGGCAACTTCAATTCCCAAAAAGTACTTCAATTTTCCAAAGGTCTTAATATCAAACTCCTTGGCTAAGTGATCGCCTAGCAATTGTTGCTCCTTCTCATCATCATCTGTTACTATAATGTCATCCACATACACTAATAAAATTGTTACTCCCTCTGTCTCAGAATGTTTGATAAATAGAGTGTGATCTCTTTGACTTTGTTTAAAGCCCAAACCTATCATAACTTTGGTGAACCTTCCAAACCATGCTCGTGGTGACTATGGGTGGCAAAACGGGTCGGGTCAGCCTGTTTGATCCACCATTTTTAGCGGGCTGGACTAATATTTTCGACTCAGTACCTTAAGTTGGTCCGCCCCACCTAACCCGCTTTAAAAAGCGGGCTTAGGCTGGACGGGGCGGGTTTTGCCAGCGGATTTTTTGTTACAACTTTTTACTTTTTACTTAGAATTAAGACAACTTTAACTATAAAAACAACGGTATTCTCTTTGGGTTATGGTGATTGAATTACATTCTAAATTATTATACAGACAAATTGAGTTATAATTGTAAGGTTCCTTATATAACTTTCTAATAAATGTATTGCTTGGAAAAACTTGAAATACAAGAACAATTGCATGACATGAAGAATTATTAAGTTGTCAATACATTAACTCACATGTTTTCTTTAGAAACAAATGTTAATTCTAAGAAAAGGAAGAATTCGATTAGAGTATACGTGTGACAAATTTAAGATATAAGTTATAACTATTAAGGAATCAGTCAATATAATAGTCTATATGACGTAAACAATGGAATGTCAGGTGTTAATATTTTATACACTACTATTTTATGCACTATGATGTTTTATGTACTGTAATGTTATTATTGTTTGTCTTGTGCAAATTATTAATTGGATTCTTTTAGTAATTAGTTTTTAAATAGGATTATGATGATATGTGTTGTTTATTTATTTATTTTGATACATTTTTTTATCGTACAAGAGTCTATTTCGGTATGTTTTTCTTGAAATTGGTCTTTATCAATTTTATTCTTTTAAGTGTTTGGACTTAAGACATGTTGAAATTATATTATGCGTTGTTAAAAAAATATCTTTTGTCGGCTTCTTTAGTAATGGTTAATTTTTTTGTAAATTATGTAATAAATTAAATTGTAAAATAAAAAAACTAAAAAAATTGGCGTTAGTAAACGGGGCGGGCTTGACTTTTGAGCTCGGGTGCCTAAGTTTGTCCGCCCCACCCCGCTTTTGTACGGGTTTAAACGGGGCGGGCCGCCCACTTTGCCACCCCTAGTGGTGACTACTTTAGCCCATATAAAGCCTCTTTTAATTTGCACACAATGTTGGTGGTATAAGTTCACAGTATCCAGGGGTACATCCATATAGATCTCTTTATCAAGTTATCCATGACGGAAGGCATTTTTCACATCAAATTGATGTAACTTCCAATTGTAATTAGTTGTTAAAGGTAATATCACCCTTGAGGTATTCATTTTAGCAACTGGAGCAAATGTCTTTGAGTAATCTACTCCATAAATTTGGGTGAATCCTTTGGCAACCAATATTGCCTTGTACCTCTCAATAGATCGACCAGCCTTGTATTTTACACTGTATACCCATCTGAACCCTACAGGTTTCTTTCCATTTGACAGAGAAACCAACTCCCAAGTATTGTTTTATTCGATGCTTCCATCTCCAAGTCCATGGCTTGTTTCCATTTCCTGTCAGAGAAAGCCTCAAATAAAAAGTTAGGTATTGTTATAGTGTTTAAACTTATGAGGAAGGCTTTATGGGTAGGTGAAAATGTTCAAAACTCAGGTAGTTGGATATAGGATAAACTGGCTTTTTAGTATATTTTCTGATATCTATTCTAAGGGCAATTGGAAGATTTAAATCCTTGTAGTGTGGTGGTAAAACTGAGTTGGATTCTGTTTCTTGTTGTTCATGAGAAAATTCAAAAATTGAATCACTAGTGCTTGAATGGTCGGGAGAAGTTACCTCATGTAATGTCGGATTGGATTCTTGGATATGAGTACATTCATGAATGTTCTTCTTTCTTATATATACTAAATTCTTTCCAAATCTCACATCAGTTTTAACATTTCCAATTTTTTCAGAATCAAGTTCAGCCTCAACATTGTCACCACTAGTTTCAGTCTCAACTTATGGTTCAAAAGTAAGGTCAGGAAGTAAAGAAGACTCATCTTCCTTACTTATATTCTCCCCCTGAAGATGAGTTTGAAGGAAGTAACTTTCTTGTTCATGGAAGGTGGCATCTCGAGAGACAAAGTATTTATGAGATGGTGGATGATAATATTTGTAACCCTTTTGGGTAGAAGAGTATCCTATAAAGACACATTTTAACGCTCTAGAATCAAGTTTTCCTCTACCATCACTATGGATATGGACAAACGACATACACCCAAATATTCTAGGGGTCAAATTACTTGAAGTAGACACATCATGATAGAATGAGGATATGACTTCCATAGGAGTTTTGGAGGTAAGGACTGTAGAGGGTAAACGATTAATGAGATACGATGCAGTTAAGACAGTCTTGCCCCAAAATTTCTTAGGGACTTTATTTTGGAATATCATAGCACATGTTTGGTCTAACAAGTGACAATTCTTTTCTCGGCAATCCCATTTTGCTGAGGGGTTTTAACACAAGAAGACTCGTGAATAATACCTTTGTTTTGACAAAGAATTAAGACCGTGGTTAAAGTAATCTTTGACATTATCGGACCTAATTCTCTTAATACTCACACCACACTGATTTTTAACCATAGAGAAGAAGTGAAGAAACAGGGAACAAACTTCAAATTTTTGTTTTAACAAGTAGACCCAAGTAACCCGACTGCAATCATCAATAAATGTTAAAAACCAACGAGCACCTGATATATTTAGAACATTCGACGGACCCCAAACATGGTTGTGTTTAGAAAGTTATGAATTAAGTAAAACGGAAAAGTACTCATTTTATTACTGACTGAAAAAGAGACACGCTTGTGTTTAGCAAGTTGACACACTTTGCAACAAAGACTCTCCACATCTAAACTTTTAAATAATGAAGAAAATAATTGTTTTATGACCTTAAATGATGGATGACCAAGGCGACAATGATACAAATAGACCTTCTCTCTGTTGATTTTAATTGATTCTGAATAAAAGGATTTGTTGCCGCTGAATAGATTTGGAGGAATATTTTCGTTATCCAAGTAATAAAGATCATTCCATTCTCTAGCATTTCCAATTGCCCTCCCTGAATTCTTATCCTGGAAAACACAAGCGTTGTTATAAAAAACAACATTACATGATATGTCGGTTGTGGGTTTTTGTATGGAAATTAGGCTAGTGGATAATTTGGGAATATGAAAAACATTTCGAAGGATTATAGATGGGCATATTTGGATATCTTCTTGCCCAGCCACAGTTATAAGAGTATCATCTACAGTGGATATTTTTTTGTTGCTAGGACATGGTGAATAAGTAGAAAAGTGTGTGGGTAAAGGTGTCATGTGGTCAGTGGCTCCAGAATCCAATATCTAATATTGGTTAAAGGGTTTATTTGAGGCATTAAGTCCAAAAGAAAATTGAGACTTACCAAGGGAAAGTGAAAACGGAAATGTACCAACATAAAAGTATCAGCTGGTTTCTCTAACTTACTAAGGAGGGATCTCAGTCTTTCTACTTCGTCTTTGTTGAGTTGGACCAATTCTCCTTCTGACATATTGATGGATGTCATGCAAATGTGTCTGACTCAATAGAATAAAAAAGAACTTGCAAAGTAGTCGTAAAGAGGCCGACAACCTTCAATTGAGTTTTTTTTTTTAAAGTGAATAGTGCGGCAATGAACAGTGTCCCGACAATGGACAGTTCTGTCGATGAACAGTAATTCCGAGATGAACAGTACCACAAATGAGCAGTACTCTGGTGATGAACAGTACCATAGATGCCCGAATTTTGCTGTAAACAGTACTTCTGAACTTAAATCCCCGCAAATAAGGCGGCTAGGGTTTTGAAAAAAGAACCGCAAATAAGGCGGCTAGGGTTTTCAAAAAAGAACCGCAAATAAGGCAGCTAGGGTTTTGAAAAAAGAACCGCAATAAAGGCGGCTAGGTGTTTTTTATGCGGAAGTGAAACCCTCGAACGAGAGCTCGTGATACCATGTTTGAAATTGAATAATATATTTCAAGTATGTTAAAATTACAAGCACTAATCTCTTTATATAAGACTATTCTAATCTAATGGGCCTAACTAATGGACAAAAAGCCCGAATATAAATTACTATTAATAATAGTAAAAATAACTTATTTACAACAAGCACAAAACAAGAACAACAACAACCAAGCCTTGTCCCTCTAAGTGGGATCAGTTACATGGATCAACTTTGGCCATAATGTTCTATACAGGATCGTGTTTCAAATCCAGATCGTTAATCTCAAGATCTTTCTTAATAACTTCTCTTATAGTTTTTCTAAGTGTACCTCTACTTCTAGTTGTTTGACTTCTCTCCATCTGATCCACTCTCCTTACTACAGTATCTACAGAGGTCTTCTCTGAGTCTCTCTACATGTCCAAACCGCCTATGTCTATTTTCCACCATCTTCTCTACTATAGGTGCTACCTCAACACTCTCTAATATTATCTTGTCTAATCTTACCATACATTCAATACAACATCTTCATCTCTGCTATACTTATTTTATTCTCGCAACACAACTATGAAATTAATTAACAACTAAGTATTACAAATAAAGAAGTTTCAGTCCTGATTCTTTATCTGTTTTAAAAATCATAATTAAGTATAACATTAAGAGAGAGTGGAACCTTAAAGTAAGAATGTGAAATTAAAACATACAAGTGTGACAGACAGAAGATAGAAACATTGAACATCACAGTTCTTTCTTCACTTCTGACCTTTCATCAACAAATTCAAACATAGCAACTGGTATAGCAGAGTATTCTACAAAAATAAAACTACCACTGGTTTGTGCATACAATGTGAATAAAATAAATAGAGATTCCTAACAAGAGTGTCTTTGAATGTGTGTAAGGCGCGCTACCACACAAAGACTAAAATTTTCACAATTAAGTCATAGCTAAATAAAGTCCCATAAAATATTTGTCACCTATGTAACACCGACACCTATGAAAAAAAAGATGTGTCCGTGTCTGAAACCGACACCAAGACTTGTGATTACATTTAATTTATTGATTTTTTTAAATTATTATTGATATCGACGTGTCAATATCAGTGTCGTGTTTCCAGTGTTTGTGCTTCATAGTTTGTCACGGCTAAATTATGGTTAAATAGAGCCTCTAATTGTTTTGTCATGTTAAAACGCAGCTAACCTACAAAGGTCTCCAAAAACTTTTAAAAAAAAACTTCAACTCTAAATTTCCTAAATTATGGGCAACTTCAAATTATTAAGGCAGGCACAGATGGAATACCGGTATTCTGCACGAATGGGTGAAGTGAGGGTCCTTCTGCTCACAATGTTTGATTTCCTTTGAACAGCAAGCTTAGGTCCAACCAGAGATGAATTACGCTTTGCTGAAAACAGCTCAGATGACTTGAGATGAGATCCACCAACTGCAAAATCAAACCAAATCAAATCTCATAATTATAGTAATATCATAATCACAATTCCAAAATTCCAATGGTTTACTAGTACCAAAAACAAAAAAGGAAATGAAAATTTTGCGAATATAAACAATTCCTGGAATGTATCGAAAAATCTAAAGTCCAAAACAATAATTAGACTCTAATCGAAAGTAGCGGTGAATTAGTTGGTTGAATAGAAGCAAAAGAAAGGAAGAAATTGAAATGAAGAAAATCATAAAAGAATAAATCCGAAAACCCTAAGATGAAGAGGTTTGAAATAAATCTGAAACGCAGCGGAAGTAAAAAGATGGAATAGCGAACCTGAAATGGATAATGGTGCGAAAGAAGTCGCCATGGAAGAGTGAGTTTGTTTGAAGCGAGAATGATGAAAGAACTGGAGAGAGAGAGAGGTGTGTTGTAATTTGTATGGAGTTATCGGGCGAGTATTACGAGGAGAGACTGTGCAAAATAATCTCCACCAAAAATATTGTTAAAAATCTCCGCCAAATGAAAGTATCTAAATCTAAATAATTGAAAACAAAAAATGTGTCATATGCCCAACATGTTGAATTAAATTAACATGTTTCTAAGTTGTTAGTGATTTAACTAAGTTATTAGTGGTTTAATTAACTAACTAACTAGTTAGCTAGTTGAGTTGGTCAAGACTATTGTTTATCTCTCATTGTTCATCATCTATGCGTGTTCATAAGTTTGTTTGTACAACAAGAAACAAAGAGGTGTGCTAGCAATTGGCATAAAGGTACTGATTTCAATACTAGGGAAGCACGGGAGACTTGTGAGGGATCATCTAATTGGGATATAGGTACTGAGATCAGTGAATTTAATTTTTTAAATCCGTGCTATTTGTATGGTTCTATCTGAATTCACATTACATATTTATCAGAACATCATTTATAAAATATAAATTAACCTTTTAATTGATTGACATTCATAAAATTACAAACATATACTAATAATATATACTAATTTTTAAGCATTGATATATATATTTATAATAAATCGTACTTATAATATACATCAACTTCAATTATATAAAACAGTATTAAAAGAAATATTTAAAAGATACGTTCACATATACCCATGAATTCAGATGAATTAACAAACTTTAGTTGAATTTAAATGAATTAGTTCTAAAAAATTGTTAGACATATTTTAGATATTAACTCCATGTCAAATTTTAGTTTTAAAAGTTTTTTATTATATCATATTTATATTTTTTTACCACCTACAATGTAAGGACAACTTCTCATTAAATTTCAATTTTAAAATCTTTTTATTATATCATATTAACAAATTTTACAAATCTAAAATATATGACACTACCTAGCCAAAAATTAATAAATTGTGTAAATATGTTCATGCAAATTCAACATCATTTTCACTGGTTATATTTCAGTTATATTAACAAATTTAAAACTCATTTTTCATTACTTGTTATAAATACTAATCTATCCATCTAAATATTTTAAATATTGTTTTGTCAAATTAATAATAATGATATTGTAAACTAAATTTAATCATGATTGAGATTTTGCAATATTTTTTTATTGGATAATACTCTTTCTAATTAAATGTTCAGTATATTTTATAACTTAAGAAATAAATTTCAAATTTTACTAACAACAATTTTACAATTAAACACAAATTTTAAAAATTCCATTATTTAGATCTCTAATTTTTATTAGGCATTTAAATTTAAATTAATATATTATTGATTATTGATTATTACTATTAAAAAATTAATTAAACTTTCAATTTCAAAAGAAAAACGAAAAAATCACTTACAACATCTTCAAACATATCGTTATGTTCATTCCAAAGAAATTAAATAAATTAAAAATCATAATTAACATTTTATTAGGAAGTTTTATTGATTTACTTCATTCTTTAATTAAAATTTTCTCTTACTGTTAAGGATAAGCACGTATTATTCACATTAAAGAAGGTCAAAGCAAATATCAAGACATTCAAGGCAATTAGTATATCAGGAAATAGTATCATAATTGTATTTAAAATAGGATTTTTATTATAGGCAATTAATATACAGATCTTTGTACTCTTATATATATATATATATATATATATATATATATATATATATATATATATATATATATATATATATATATATATATATATATATATATATATATATATATATATATATATATATATATATATATATCATTACAAGAATAAACATAACAAATTCTGATACAATATTCAAGAACTTATATGGTATCAGTTTTTCTCTGGTTAATATCCCTCAGTTTATGTTTATCATCCTGTTTCAATCCTTCTTCATCGATTCACTCACTCACTCGCATCATCATGTCTGATGTTCCACCACCACCACCACCCACCAATGATCAATCCGCCACCACCTCCAACACCGATCCATGTGTCATCCATCATTCTAACAACCCTGCAACTGTCCTTGTTACACCTCTGCTCACGGTCGACAACTATGGTTCATGGAGTGTCATCCATCATTCCGACAACCCTGCAACTGTCCTTGTTACACCTCTGCTCACGGTCGACAACTATGGTTCATGGAGCTGAGCCGTAACAATGGCACTTCGTGCCAAAAACAAATTCGGGTTTGTCGATGGAACCCTAATCTGTCCAAAGAAGGCCGATGATATCTCTAAGTGGCATCACTGCAACGATATGGTTGCAAGCTGGATTCTCAACTCGGTTTCAACCGAGATTCTCCCTAGCATTCTCTATGATGAAACGGCAGCACAAATCTGGACTGATCTCAAGGATCGTTTATCTCAGTCCAACACTCCGAAAATCTATCAATTGAAACAATCTATCTTTGCCCTAAAACAAGAGGGCATGTCTGTATCTCTGTATTTTACTCAGTCGAAATCTCTCTGGGATGAACTCCATTCCATCGCACCTATCAATCCGTGCATCTGCGGTAATGCCAAGAGTATTATTGATCAACAAAATCAGGATCGGGCCATGGAATTTCTTCAGGGCGTCCATGACCGATTCTCGGTCGTCCGCAGCCAAATTCTCCTCATGGATCCCTTTCCTTCAATTCAGCGTATTTATAACATCGTACGCCAGGAAGAGAAACAACAAGAGATTAATTTTCGACCCCTTCCTGCTGAGGAATCAGCAGCGCTTCAAGCTTCTAAAGTGTAGTATCGCACTCAAGGCAAACGGCAGCGTCCGTATTGTGAGAATTGCAATAAGCATGGTCACACTATTGCTACTTGATATCAGATTCATGGTTTTCCAAATAAGCCACCAAAGGAATCTGAACCATTCTCATCTACTTCCGCTACTCAACTCTCAAGCGCACAATACCAAAAACTCCTATCTCTCTTAGCCAAAGAGGACACTATGGGATCATCTGTGAATTTAGCAGGTATCGCTTTTACTTGTGTTCCTTTTTCTTGGATTATTGATTCTGGCGCTTCAAATCACATATGCACATCTCTTTCTTATTTTTCTTCATATTCACTTGTTCATAAAAATATACTTGTTCAATTACCCGACGGCTCTCACGCGTCCGTGAAACACATCGGCAATGCTCATTGCTCGCCGTCACTTACACTCACGAATATTTATCACATTCCATCTTTCAAATATAATTTATTATCTCTTTCACAATTAAAAAAATCAATACATTGTGATATTATTTTCTCATCCTCTGGTTGCATATTTCAGGACCGAGCAACGAAGAAGACGATTGGTCGGGGTAGTGCTCGGAATGGACTCTTCTACTTGAATGAAGAACCACCATTAAATAAAGATGACAACGATCACTATTGTGTTGACCATCCACCAAGTTCTTTTTTTAGTTCTAAGCAATGTAATAAGGCTGACCTATGGCATTTACGCCTCGGTCACCCATCTATTTCCCGTTTTCAATTTATTGTTAAGAACTCTCCAAATATTAATGCGAATAAAGATTTTATTTGTGACGTTTTTCCGCGTGCAAAACAATCACGTTTACCTTTTTCTTCAAGAACATCATATTTATCTCATTGTTTTGAGTTAATTCATGTCGATATTTGGGGTCCATTCTCTACTCCATCACACAATGGATCACGATATTTTTTTAACAATTGTCGACGATTATTCACGATGTACTTGGTTATATCTCATGCAACATAAATCTGAAACATTTACTATGCTAATTCATTTTTTTAATCAAATCAATCGCCACTTCAACACTAAAATTAATAAAATTAATTTCAGCGATGGGGGCATCTTTCTTCCCCAACTTCAAGCTATTCGTTCCGACAATGGTTCGGAGTTTTTGTCCAAACAAATCCAAACATGGTTTCATGATCATGGCATTATTCATCAACGCAACTGCGTTGCAACCCCTCAACAAAATGGCGTTGTGGAGCGCAAGCATCGTCATCTTCTCGACGTCGCAAGAGCATTACGTTTCCAAGCGAAATTACCCCTTTCCTTTTGGGGTGAATGCGTGCTCACTGCCGCTTATCTCATAAACAAACTTCCTACTCCCATCCTGAAATATAAATCTCCTCATCAAATTTTACTCGGTTCTCCTCCTTCATACTCATCACTTCGTGTGTTTGGATGTCTCTGTTTTGCCAAAAATATGAACATTCAACACAAATTCGATGAACGAGCCAAACCTGGTATTTTTGTCGGTTACCCTTTTAATCAAAAAGGATACCGCATCTATGATATGCACACTCGCAAAATATATGTCTCTCGCGATGTTCAATTTTTTGAAACCATGTTTCCATATCACGACTTTCAAACTCCTTCCATCGCTAACGACATAAGCATCAACACTCAAATCCTTGATTGTGAATTTGATGATTCCTCTTCCAACTTATCACCTGCATCAAGTATCTCTCCCGGCATTAGTCATCATGATGACACGATTGTGCCCATTTCCACCCCTCAGGATGATAACTCATCGAATATTCCATCCAATATTCCATCTATTCATGTAGAAACTCCCCAACAACATTCACCTACATCGATCAATCCTGCAGAACGTCGTTATCCTCAACGTCTTCGTACTCCTTTCGTTCGCCTCACGGACCACGTATGTGACATTAATAATGTCACATCACAGAGTGCCTTCCCATTAAAGAATTATTTCTCTTTATCCAATTTGAGCACTTCTCATCGAGCTCTTATTCTTAATAACATTGAAAATAAAGAACCAACATCTTATTCTCAAGCTATCAAATCAGCTGAATGGCGTGACGTTATGGCTAAAGAAATTCACGCCCTTGAATCCAACAACACTTGGGTTTTATCTCCTCTCCCGAATGGCAAAACCGCCATAGGTTGTAAGTGGGTATACAAAATTAAATATCACTCAAA